CCCCAAAACCCCAAAACCCCAAAACCCCAAAACCCCGGGGAGTTTTAAGAGGGTTGAATTTAGGAGGTTGTTTGGTTAGAGTCTGTTACGGGTGAGGGGAGGTTCGAGTTTTTGGATTTTTAGTGCCTGTCTGGCCCTTTGGAGATTTTTGAAGCGGTTTAGTGTTTGGGTCGAGCTTGATGTAGATTTTTGGCATTTTTGAATTAGTGTGGTAATCTTAATAGTAAGCAGCACCAAAATATTAAAGATGACCAAGAAAAAGACACAACCAATAAGCATCCAACCAACTTCGGACATCAGCTTAGCAGGATATTCTGTGGTATGGAAGATATAAAAAGATACAGCTGTTCAGAACAAGATGATTTCATTAATACAAGTGACTGCATTGCACACCCAGCTTTTGTAAGGCCTGAAAATCACATGAAGCAGCATCATGCTGAAGAAAGAAACTACCACAACAGAGCACTGGATGAAAGGGTAATGATTCATAGTGATCAATGCTATTGCAAATGCTAATCTTCTTATCTACAGTTTTAGTAACAAATCTTACCATGAAAAAGGGGTAATATAGTAAATAAATCTTGCTCCTTGGCTTGAAGAATGTATACAGTACTTCAAAACCTTGAGGAACTTCGCCCGGGTGTCTATGTATCTGCATTGAGAGTTTAATTATGAATACTAGCAACTTGTATCAGCCATAAAGACATCATGCCTATAAGTTAAGATGCTTTTCTTACCAAGATGATTATGGAGATGATGAATGATCAGATCTGCATCCAATTTTCAAATGAGCCTTCACTGAGATCGAGCATTGAGAGCACTCAAGCATCGAGATACATCTGGATCCCGAATCTCAAAAAGAACTCATACTTGTAGTCCTTAATCATACGAGAGATAGAAGATGGTTTACCAGATGAAGCTGCTTGGGTATCCAAATGGCCGCTAGGAGAACAGCTTATATCATGCACAGAAGATCTCAAGTTCTTTGAAAAAACATTTCGGTTTAGAGCCATCTCTGAAGCTGGGAAGTCAATGTTATCTAAAATGATAGTTTAGTGATTACTTGATCAGTGCTTATTCTCTTCTTGTAAAGCTTGCTTGATATACTGTTGGGCTGTGACAAACTTTCCTTTTATTGCCAACAAAATAAAACACAGTATAGTTCCTTGTACAAATGCTATTGTCAAACTTGATAAATTCCTGAGGATATTAGATGATTCCAGATCTAAAATTTAGAGGAAATCTACCATTCTCAATAAACTTTTTGTTGCTCGTCTCGAGATGATACTTCTCGTTGCTAATGAAGTAATCAAGTGCACTGTTCTGAGAATTGCTGATAAAGTCTACTTCGAACCTAAACATTAACTTTTCATATTTACCTTGAAATCGTAAAGCTCTTAAAGAAGCTCACCACATGGATTGGGAAGTATACGCTGAAGAATGGGTAGTAATAAAGCAGTTGTAGAGTATTCATAAAAGCCCAATGTAAATCCAGAGAATCTCCTCTAAAAGTTAAATGTAGTCTTACAATAAAACATTTGTGGATATAATGATGCCCATTGTAAACTGAAGCATTGATGAGGTTGCACTTTTTCATGCATTGAGCATTGCTCCATTCTCTAATATTTGATTTGCAATTCCTTTCACAGAATTATTCTCAACAGATGCTCCATTAGATGATTTAAATTTAGACTGATCAATTGTAATATTCATTGTCTCACTTCCTCCTCCATATAATGTTGAGATCATTTTAACATCCACTTCTAAGTGGGTAGAATTTGTAAATTTAGAAGTATAGGAGAGATCATAGTTGTTTGCTGGGCCTGTAACAACGACAGATAAATCACTAGTTGCAATTTCAAATATTTCCATATCAGAGTTAAAAGATATCATAGCCACATTTTGATCTGAAATACTCTCTAAACTCATCTTCACATCTAAATGTTAAATCAAAAGTTACTTTTGTGGCATACATTCTGGCCTGAAGAGTTGGTGACTCATGAATAGCCAGACTCTACTGTGCAAGTTGAGCTTCAGCCATCCCCGTCAACAATGTTTTCATCATCACATTCCTCGAGACTTGCTTCCACGATACCATCCCCACACTTCAAAACTCAAATACTTTTACCTACCAAATCATCTTGGCAAGAATATTTAGGATCAATGACTCCAAGTGTTGAGCACCCATCATTGTCATCATTATTTCCGTCATCTCAATCTTCTTTGTTGATTGCTCGAATTCCATCATTGATCGTGTAACTGCAAACAGATGGGCTTGCTGAATCACAAGTCCACCCTTGTAAAGCCCCTGCACAATCGCTTCTGCATCCTTCGCCGTCATTAATGTCATTATCATCACATTGTTCTTGAGGAACTTTAATCTGGTCGCCTCAGATAGGAACATGAGTCGAGAGTTGTCCTTCTGTTACGGTATGAGTATAGCCAACTTCGAGCTTACAACTTGAGTTGCATCCATCTCCGCTGGATCGGTTGTCGTCATCTCACTCTTCATCCTGAGCGGCTTCAGATCTGCCATTGCCTCACCGATCATATCAGAAAGTTTGCCCATACCTCGATGATTCAAAACATTCGTATTTATATTCTTCATTGCAAGAAGAGTCGCATCCATTGCGACTCGGATGGTTTGAATCGTCTCACTGCTCCCCTGTATCCACTATTCCATTACCACATCCAGCCTCTGAGATGCAGAAGGGCGATTGTTCGAAGGTGTTCTCATTGCAGAATCTCCTGTTGTCTGTCCTTGCGATATCATTAACGTCAAATACTTCTGGGTACTTCAAGTACCTATTGGTAATATAGAAGTTGCCCATGTACCCATCCATTCCCAGTCCTAAGGTCAGATTGAAGAAAGTTGAAACTGCAGGATACAGTGGAGAGAAGTCATCGCTTGCTGGTATTTGACACTCAGAAAATGATAGGCTTGCATCTGGCTGTTTGATGTAGACTCACACTCCAAAACGGTTATGAGAGTTTGTCAAAGGCCCAAAGCCAATATAAATCATAGTCCATTTGTTATTCACGTGCCCTATGAGTTGAACATATAGTTTACCTGTAAATGCATTTGTGAAAGTGTAAGTGGCAACACTATTTTCACAGATCAAGTTGTCTGAGCTTCTTTTACATTTAAACAAAGTTGTTGTAGTTGAGACTGCCTATGAGTTTGAGTGCAGAGACTTACGTAAAGATGAAAAAAGACTTCACCAGAGGATCCAATATCCCCTGTGAACCAAATTTCAAATCCAAAATTTTTGTCAGAAGGATTATATATCTCAGCAAAGTATAGTTGCTTCGTGGTATCAAAAATAATTCCATTATTATTACTAGCAAAGCTAAACAGTTTATAAACGAAATCACCTCATTGAGTCTTCATTATACGCTGCTGTTGTCTGAGTAGGTAAAAACCAGGCTCTATTTACTATATACTTCTGAACTCCTTGATGTCTGTTAATTCCAAAGAACTCTGTCTTATAATACTCACAAAAGCTTATTGGACATTCATCTTTGCCTAAATAATTCTAAACACGAGTTTACCTGGGATCTTGAGCAGTGTAGTCAAATCAGAATTTGAGACAAAGTAATCTGAGTAAAACATTTTGTTGATCATTCCACTATTCCTTATTGATCAGTTTCTTACTTGAAAGAGTTGATTATCGCTCCGTTAGAGTTCTCTCCACCTATAAATGAAGCCAAATTTTACCAATAGTCAAGTATGAGTCTGAAGTATAAGCGGCTTGAGTGAAGGATTCAGTGAACAAGGTAGAATCCCCTCTGTGAATGTTCCTCACCACAAAGTTTGTTCCATCAGATGCCAAAGAGAGTACATTCCAGCCAGCTATAGAAGGTCACTCTCAATAATTCTTTCAAAGTAATAATATTACAGAACCGATCGAAAATTATTAAAATACTGTGAGGCCTAGAAAAAGCATTAAAATTGTATTATCACAGAAACTGTGTCTCTTTACAATGTTTATCATTCTATTGCTTGCACTTTTTCAGATTTCTAGAAATCTGAAAAGTTCTATTTTTAAAGCCAACTATTGATACTCCTATCCATTTAAAATTGCTAGCGTATTAATAACTGAATAAATATGCTTGAACATACTAAAAATTTTCAGAAGTTTTAGCTGTTGAGTCAAAGCAGTTACTTGGAAATGAACGGCATAAAATGTATTTAATGAAGCCCTAAAATAACTAATCTCTAACGGCATTGCAATAACTTTTCCAAGATGCTAGGTTTAGCTCATAAAGAGGTATAGAGACTTACTTCTTGAACCAATTGTGCTTGATGTAAGCGTCTGCCCTGTAGCTGTATATGCGTTCACTATAGATATATGAGATGTACAAATAAGAAGTTTAAAATACATATGCTTTGATTAAATAACTTAGAGTTGAGTCAACAGATTTTCCAGAATTTTAAGAATAGAACAAAACCAGATATTTCTAAAAATTGGAGAGTTTAGATTATATAAAACTACCTGTAATTATTTTCATTTTCCCGCCATCATAGAAGAAGCAGATCCTTCGGGCACCTGCACTTGTACTCTAAATTAAGAATTATCACATGGAGGAATTAGAGTTTTACTGAGGAGGGTGGTCAATACTTCAAGTAAAATTTTGATCAAGATCATGTAACAAAATAAGATTATTAGAAAAAGCAATATTAGCTGAAAATGTCATTGCAAGCTTGGAAAAATCTGATGAATCTTACTTGGCAAAATACTGCAGACGTTGCACTGGGTTCTAAGATATAAACCCAAAATGAGATAGTAAAGCTTCCTGATAATGTGATTCTTGGAGAGTAATTGATTGATGAAGCTGCTTGATCTCCATAGAGTAAACCCATTGGCGTTCTTGATGGTTCGTTCCCAAGAACACTGCCTCCGCTTGTAGTGTAGTCTAATTAAATAGTTCATTTTGCTCTTTTATAACCAAAGAGTACAAATGATGTAACTAAAACTTACGAACATAAATTCTTGGATTACTTGCAATGTTCTCTTCAATAACTGTGGTTTCACCAGCTTGTAATTTTTGTATCTTCCATTCATAATCAACTGCTGCCGATGTCACAAAAATTAATGACAAAAGAGTTATAAGGAAGGCCAATCTAGTTTGGAGATCCCAGATTACTCTATTAGTTCTTTGTAGTACAGAACCATTGCATCTTATTAATAAAAAGTATCTTAACAATAACTGAGAGTACAGCTTGTGAGATACATGTGAAAGTCTTTTCATATTTAATTTTAAAGGATTAAATTTGATAAATCATACAATATTTTTTAATTTAATGGGGTTTTGGGGTTTTGGGGTTTTGGGG